TATTGAAGGTGTGTATGTGTAAATACTTGCTGTTTTTCACTGTAGGTATTAATAAAGAAGAGCTATGACCGTACTAAACGCCAGCGTCGCAGAAACTGGAAGCTGAAAGAGCTAGAAAGGGACAGAGAAGGCACGGATACAGACGATGAAAGGTTCGGTATCTGCCATGAAGCTTTTTAGTCCCTCCTACCTAGGATTTCTCAGTTTCTGCTGAGGAAAAACCCAGTGTAATGCCTAAGCTGATGTGCTGACTGTTAAGGGGGCACAAGCAAATGCCGCTGGTTCTGTTTGAGCGTGATGCTGGCTCATAGGACAGGTTGATATCAGTGTTCTCTGAAGAACATTATCTCTCTGCATTTTTCCCCCTTCCCTAGTGCAGGAAGTGCTTTAAGCATATGCACCTTACTTGTGTTTATCCTACCTGCTAAGTTTTCAGGGAACATGGATACTGAGGACAACGGGCCAGGGGTGTTTGGAAACAGACAAAATCCTGAAATCTTAAAGATAGCACTGGAGGTTTTTCAGGTTTACTGTTGCAAAATGTAAAAACTATTTTTGTTTTTTCCAAGAAAAGCTTAAATCAAGTGAGTAATATCAGAAGCATTGTGTCTGTAGCTTACAGTTGGTGTCTGTCTAGCTAAAGGGACACTTCTATGAAAACACGCTTGTCACTGGTTTGTTCAGTGACAAAGCTGATGCAGCAACAGCAGATTCTAAATAACGTTCAATTGAGTAGAAAAAATGAGGCAATTAGTTAAATGAGGACAGGCAAATTAAACAAATTATTTGGAAACTAAGGTGATAAAGAAAAAAGCAGAAAGAATGAGTTGGAAATGTAGGAATGCTATCAAAAGGCACGTCTGAAGGGCTGTGGATTGCAGTCCTTCCTTGGGGCTTTGTTTCTTTGATTTTATTTTGTTTTATAAATTTACGTAAATCCACAGGAAAAGTGAGTAAATACATTAAGCATCTTTTACAGACAATACCAGGACTTCCTTGAAGATCTCGAAGAAGATGAAGCCATAAGGAAGAATGTCAACATTTACAGAAGTAAGGCCTCTCTAACCATTTAGTTGCATGTAACTAGATCATGACTATTTGAGTGAAAATATTTTCACTGAAGTTCTGTATTTGGATTCTTTGACCTACTCATGCCTGGAGAAACACTGTAATGTAATAGCTTCAGGTATTCAGTGTATTTCACATGCACTGAATGGATGTTGATGATTTTTGTTTGCTTTGCCTTGAGAGAGAGAAGCATATTTTCTCCCGCACCCAAAACCTCTGCAGGGTGAAGGATTTGATACATAATTCAGCGTCTTCCATGAGGGCAATTGCTATGGGATGGTTGTTTTTTAGGAGGGATTTGTTTGTTTGTTGGTTTTGTGGTTTGTTAGTTGTATTGGGGGTTTGGGTTTTATTCTGCTTCCTTCCTTGGGATTGTTCAGGGGGTTTCGGGTTTGTTTTCTTTGCTTAGCTGTTTGTTGTTTTTTTTCTATTGCTTTTTTAGATGCAGATGTTCCAGTGGAGAGCGACACGGATGATGATGGTCCTCCGCGAATCAGTCTGGCAGAAATGCTAGAGGATCTCCATATTTCCCAGGATGCCACTGGTGGGGAGGGAGCAAATATGATGACAGAATAAGAATAGTGCACTAGTTAACGCAATAAATATTCCCTTAGTGAGGAAAAAGTACCCAAAACATAAGTAAACATTACAAACTGATCACATGAACATGAAAAGTATACCCCTAAATAATGGTCCTAAATTAATATTTCATATATACTCTTCTAGAGAATCAGCAATTAAATTTCTGGTGCAAGCATTGCGATGTAAGTTCAACAAGTTCCTCCCATCCCTAAGTGCTCTCTCCTTGCAACTTCTGCAGTGTAAAGACTAGCTGACTAACTGCGGAGTTATCCATTGGGAGTAATCATTGTCTTGTGCTGAAGACAGCTGATAAGGAAAGATGTCCAAAGGGAGAGATTTTATTCTAGTTTGCTAGATTTGTAGGTAAAGTACCTACCTACTATTTATTGCTTTCATTTCTTCACGAGAAGGATTTTTCCTATCTTAATCTTTTTGGTTCAATGGTTTGAAGCCTTTTATGATACTGCTAGATTATTCAATATAACAATATTTTGGGGAAGCTCAAGAATGTATCTTCTGCTCCTTTGGTAAGGGAACTCCAAATATGCATGTTTACACGAAGAAACTTCCCTGTAAATTGATTGAAGATGCAGCCCTTGATCAGAAGGATTGCAAACTTGTGTTAAGTATAATGAATATTGTATTGTACTATATTCCATGCCTGTATCAGTGGATTAAAAGCAATATGCATAATGTCTAATTAATACACCAGATAGGAACTATTAAAAAACTATTCAGATGGTTTTGGTCCATCATTTTTTAGTTAACTTTAAAATCAATTTTCTCTCTACTGTAAGCCCAAGGAGGACATAAGTGGTGTAGGAGGACATTACATACTTATATTCATCTGATTTTAATTCACTTTACTGCACAAAGGTGGTTTAACAGAAATTTTACTAGGAGTTTATGTGCATATACGTTTGATTTAACTCAATATAAATAGGGAAACATAGCATAGTGAGAGTGGTTTTGTCACTGCATTTTTTTAACTTGAGGAAAAAATGTTCAAAATAAATGGCATATGTAAAGGAGGGAAATACTAATGTAAAGTTGGAAGAAAATAGAGATGTGTAGGATTCCTCTAACAGGGTATTAATGATTCCTCTATCAAGGATCTGTATAGCTCAAATGAGAACACTTGAGGTGGTTTGTCACCGCTTGCATGCTTGTAAGAGAAACACACAGGGCTGGAAATTCACTATTTCTCTGCAGTATCCACTGAGGAGGTGTCGGGAGCACCTTTCTCTATTTCACCGTACTACACAGCTTTCCAAGGCCTTAAAGAAAAGCTAAGAAACAATCAAGGAGTTAGCAGTGTTCAGCCCACTGCCAGGTGAGAAAAATTTTTGCCTTATTCTTCAGTTTAATCTTTTGACTAAGTGTTTCCAGACGGTGTGAATCCGCTGGATTTCAGGCTTACTGTATGAGCCCAGGCAATATGCCATAGAAGGCAAAGGTATTTTTGATTGTAAAAGGTGGAGCTAGGTTTAGTTATCAGTTACTCATACTTTTTTTTTATTCTGTCTCATAATTTTGTAATCAGCCATTTGTAAAGGGGAAAAAACGGAAATTTTGAAAGGCAGTTTTGATGTAGCGAAGCTCTAAGTCATCTGTTGGTGTTAGCAGCTCAGCCATCCCTTAGTGCCATCTTTTACTGTGTGTTTGTGTCACACCAAGCTCTTCTGCTTCCACTCTCAGGAGCTTTGTCATATTTTTTTACTGTGTAGAAGAGCAGTTAAGAAAAATCCATAAAGCTGCTGAGAACTAAAGGTACAATTTATCTCATGACAGTAATTTAGTTCAGTATAGGGAAGGCATAAAACCGTGCTTAAGTTTCATGAGAAAGTTTCATATTCATGAGAATGCAGCTGCATAGCTAACCTGGATTATCACTACAATAAAAATGTTTTATTACACATATTTTACAGTAGCTACACCTGCCAGTAGTGCTGGGGAGATGTAGATAAACTCAATTCTAGTGACCATTGGGCCAAATCTGTGGAAATTGAAGAACTTTAATTTGTAACCTGTAGCCAATGAATGCATTGTGTGTCTGGATGAGATGTGTTTTGGATTGTGATTTTTCTGACAGGTAAAAATGATCAAGCCTTTATCGTACATAGTAGTTATCTTTATCTTACATAGTTTGGTAATAAGCTTCCTGTTGTTGACAGGTGAAGGGGGAGTAATAAAAGCTTATTTTAAACTGTGCTGTTTTGATCAATCCTTTTCCTTCCTCTCTAATGTTTTCCTCCATAGTGTGTCTCAGTAATTTCAGATGTATTGCTGTCTTGTCTGTCATCCTGTTTGTTGCTGCAGATGTCCCTCTTCCTTTCCCCCCCCAGTGGTCTGCTGCCAGTCTGTATTAGGTTTCAAGCATCTTTCAGCAAGAATCTTGTCTGGAAAGATCTCATGCTACGCATGCTAGGCAAACAAGTCATAAATCTAAGTATGTTGCTTGGCTTTTTGTGCATTTGTTTGCTAGCTGGTAACACGTAGTAACAGCTCTCCAATGAGTGCGTAAGCTGTGTGTAACTGAAACCAAAGTTAGTTCTATTTTTAGGTTCTCAAGTTTACAGTGTCCCTTTAACATTTAAATGGTTGGGAGCCAAAAGAGGCTTAGATGGTGTACCAGCAAATTAAATGTTTGTCAAGGGCTTCTCACTGACACTGGATAAGTAATTTGACAAAAGGTACTTGATTCACAATAGATAAAAGGCTGTCACTTACCCTGCATCTCTTTCTGAAAATCTATCTCTGTGGATTGAGCCACGGCTTAAAGCTCCTCTCCTTTTATACATACAGAAGTCGCTTCAGGATTTTAAGTCATAACTGCTTAATGATTAATTTGCACCCAGATTTTGACGAATTTTGAATCGGAAAAGAGTTGAAGCGTAACGTCCCGCTAGTTTGCCTGGGGAGGAGGGGGGTTGCTTTTGAGACGCGGATATATATATATGTGTGTGTGTGTGTGTGTAGCAGATTTGGCACACAGAGTATGTGTGATGGCGAGTACTAAGCAGTAGCAGTATGTATAGTAATTTATGAATAGTAACGCAGATGTAAAAGGGTTGTCTGAAGTAGTTACATGATGGTTAAATTTGAAGTGTACTTGCCACATGTAGTAAGGTAGTAGTAAGACTAAAAAGAAAGTATACTTTTTGAAGTATTAAAAAAAAAAAAACCACAAACAGCTGATGAGATTCTGTTTCAGCAGAGAAGAGAAGTTTTGTCCTTCAAAACAGCCAACATTTTGTTCTTTCAGAAGCAAGGCTTTTACAGTGAGAAACCAAATAAGGCTTCATACAGCCTTTCAGCCCTGTCACTAGCTTCCCTGGCTAGGAATGGTGGGAAGAAATAGTTGCTTAAGCTAAGGGAGTTTCACTCCCCTCCCCCCGCTAGTGGATTACTGGGGGGAAGAATGGAGACAGAAAATGCAAGACTAGATTTAAACTTTGCAGGGTTTTAGTGCTGAATTTCCATTTTGGTTAATGATGAATCACTTCTTTTTTGGGGTTCGGTTGCCTTAGTGAGCAATGTGTGCAGTAGCTCTTGTGAGCAACTGATGTATTACCATGATTCTAGATCATTTCATTGAAATTCAAAGTTCTATTAAAAAAAAAAATCATTTGTCATGGGAGAAGCTGTCCAGAACTTTGTAATAACTGTCTGAAAGTGTTTTGCTCTCAGAAAATGGTGAAGGAGAATGTTACGTTGCAGAAGTCAAACCTTACAGCACAAAAGCTGGATCATTGAGGGAAACAAATACACAGGAGGAGGTGGTTTAGATATGCAAGCACTACTTTTTTTTTTTATAGAAAAAAAACAGTGTCTTGTATATTGATGATGAAAAGCCTAAGGTTGGTAATTTCACCTTTAACTGCTTTAAAAATCTATTAGTAGATTCTCGTATGTAACTACAGAGGTTCCCAAATACTGTTCAGGTGGAAATTGTTCAGGAAAATAGCGTCAAAATCATGCCAGATAACTTACCTTTGCTGTATTAAAAGGACTGCTGCTGTGCCAATTTGGGGAGATTACAACCTGAGGAATAGCATATGTGCTAGTTGTCATTGAGATACTGATCCGGTGGAGAGTTTTAATAGAATCAATGTTATTATACCACTGAGAAGAGCCTGGCTCCATCTCCTTTACTGTCTCCCATCAGGTATTGATAGACATGGATACAGTCCCGCTGAGCCGTCTCTTCCCCAGGCTAAACAGTCCCGGCTCTCTCAGCCTCTCCTCTGTCGGAGAGCTGAGGGGAGGAAGGAAATAGTGAGCCGATCATACCATTTCCAAACAGGGAACATAGTCTGGGAAAACCTACACATATAAGATAGTGTTCACCCTCTCAGACCACTTTGGAAAAAAAATGTGTATCTGTAGATGTGTATCTCTCTCTGCCCCAAACCTTATATTAGTTCCCATATCAATTCTACATCCTATCACACCCACCCCTGGACACAGTGCGGGTTTAGGAGCTGTGGGGCAACACACGGCTGGCCTTTGCCGCTCCTGTAACCCAGCACGTTTTATGCTTAGCCTCTTGGCATGTCCCGGAGAGATGCTGGATCTGATCCTTCCCCGGCTGGGGCCAGCAGCAGCTCCGCTGGGCGCAGGAGGGAGGGCAGGGTTAGGTCCTCACAAACAGGGACCATGCAGAGTAGCGTATGGTCCATTCTAGGAGATGCTGCCTGCAATCAAGTTGCCGAGAATCTGATGTGGGCGAGTACTGTTAGACAAACTCATTTTTCTTTTTGTAACTGAAACGTGCTCAAGATGGAACACAAAGTGCCGCGTGTGTTGTAAGGACCTTTCTAGGAATGGCCAAATACACTTTGCTTGAAGGCTGCAACATCTTGGTGAGACACACGGGTCTCACTTTGGTCAGGAGGCATCCACAGTGGCAGGCACTTGCCCATTCTTCTGTAGAAGTTGCCATAGAAAAATTGAGATGTGCCTGTGATTAATGTGATAGTCCACCTGATGTCACTATTCCTTCATGTTAATGGCCCCGAAAGCAGTCTGTTCAGCTGCTCTAAAGAAAAGATGGCTATAAACTCTGAAAAACTTGTTTATGCCGATGTAGTTTCTAATACTTTCATTTAAGTTTAAAATAGCATAGCACCAACCTAAGGAAAAATAGGACAAAAGCTGCTTTGATCTTGATATTAAAGGACTTATTCCTGGCAATCTGCTCCTCCTGCCAGCAGATTCGCCTCTACTTGTGCCTTGCCAAGGCCACTTGTTTTAGCTGCATTCTCCCAGAACTGTTAAATATAGGGCTGAAACTCGCATGTTGGGTTTCAGAGGGGTTTTGGCAATGTTTGCTATAGCTCATTCCAGAACATAATCACGTAACAAAGAATATTGCCTTCAGAATTTACCAATGTTTTGTGTACTTAACCTTCATCGTGAGCTTAGGAAGGGAAACTGGTTAAGACACGTAAGAAACAGAAGATGAAGTTTAAAACTTGTCAGGATCTCAGTTCCGTGATGAAAAACAGCATAATCATCAAGAAAGAGAAGTGCCTTTGTGTAATTTGAATATTCAGCTTTCTAAAATGAAACAATTATGTATGACACAAATCCACAACTAATGTACCTTTTCACATCAACTATGAAAATGTTTCAGATGTGCCAAGCACTGAAAGGACTTGAAAGACTATTTTAAAATAATCCATGCTCAGTGGCAAGTTTTGTAAGATAGAAGGAAACTATTTAAGCTGTAAATGATT